TTTTCTTTTTTTTTTTTTTCAACGTTTATTTATTTTTGGGACAGAGAGAGACAGAGCATGAGCGGGGGAGGGGCAGAGAGAGAGGGAGACACAGAATCGGAAACAGGCTCCAGGCTCTCAGCCATCAGCCCAGAGCCCGATGCGGGGCTCGAACTCACGGACCGCGAGATCGTGACCTGGCTGAAGTCGGACGCTTAACCGACTGCGCCACCCAGGCGCCCCGAATATATCTTCCTTTTAAGAAAAACTTTGCAGATATATTCTTAGAAGTAGGATTGCTTTGTCAAAAAAAATCAACATTTTAATGACTCTTTTTTTTTTTTTTTTTTTTACTGCTTAATTGCATTCTAGAAGGATTTATACCATCACTTTATATAGGAATTAGCAGTATGCAGAGTTGACTGACTTAACAATAACCTCATCAACGTTAGTACTTTGCATTGTTTCAGTTTGTACTTTGTTGATAACTAATGAGGTTTTATCTATTTAAAAATTTAGTATTTTTAGTTAGAAAAATGTAACTATAAAAGGTAGTAAAATATTTTTTATCTTTAGGGAACGTGCAAGGATTAATGGTTGATCCCTAACTCAGATAGTGTATAATTGATGCTAAGTTAACTTAAAATATAAGAAAATTTATAATAATTTATATTCGTATCCCGTTCTCAGAATTGACTCTTTAGAGAGAGTTTTGAAAAAATTATGGACAAATTTAAATTGTTCATAAATTGTAAAAACAATTGATAATTCTTGAAGACTATACTAGAGCTACTTCTCATGTCTTGTCAAAGTGCCAGGTACATTTAAAATTTTACTTTAAGACTTTTTATTTTTTTTTTTTAATTTTTTTTTCAACATTTATTTATTTTTGGGACAGAGAGAGACAGAGCATGAACGGGGGAGGGGCAGAGAGAGAGGGAGACACAGAATCGGAAACAGGCTCTAGGCTCTGAGCCATCAGCCCAGAGCCTGATGAGGGGCTCGAACTCCCGGACCGCGAGATCGTGACCTGGCTGAAGTCGGACGCTTAACCGACTGTGCCACCCAGGCGCCCCATGACTTTTTAAATTTTTACAAAGTTCTACAAATATTATTATGTTAAATTTCATCCATTGTGCCATTATGCTAGAAAAAATTTTCTTTGAATTTACACTTACAGAAATGGGACGCCGGTCTTCAGATACTGAAGAAGAAAGCAGAAGCAAGAGAAAAAAGAAACACCGTAGACGGTCATCTTCAAGTAGTTCTTCAGATAGTAGAACATACAGCCGAAAGAAAGGTGGAAGGAAATCAAGGTCAAAGTCAAGATCTTGGTCCAGAGATCTTCAGCCTCGCTCTCATTCATATGATAGAAGGTAATTTTTATAATTTTTACTTATTTAGTAATGAGAGTAGCATTCTTTAGTATTCATATGTTTTTTTGGGTCAAAAAAACTTTCAATTTTTTTGGGTAAAACATTTTTTCTTTTAGAAGTTATGTATTTATGAGGGTTAAGTGTCAACCCAAAAGTTTTTAAAAATTTTTTTTCGTTTTTATTTTTGAGTATGCTACATTAGTTTCAGGTGTACAATTTTGTGACTTGATAGGTTTATGCATTATTCTGTGTTCACCACAAGTATAGCTACCCTCTGTTCCATTACATTGGTATTGTAATATCATTGACTGTATTCTTTATGCTCTGCTTTTTATTCCTGTGCCTTACTCGTTTCATGACTGGAAGCCTGTATCTCCCTTTCCCTTTCACCCATTTGGCCCAACCCCTCATTCTCCCAAAGGTTTTCCTTTTTGCCAGGCCCAATCCATGGGTCTAGTGTCTGTCCTTTGTCTGTTCTTTGTAGACATGTAGATATAAACTGGTGTAGTTCTCATGAAATAGCGTCTGATAATATTTGGAAGGATTGTATACTGCTGAGGACCCCTAACGTGTTAATTAGTAGCTGGATCCAATCACTAAACTATGCATCAGTCATCTGACTGTTAAAGAGGAATAACATTTTATCTCTATTTGCTTCTAGGAAAGAGTGAGAAGTAGTAAAAATGAGATGATTCTTTAGAATCTAGAAGATTTCTGTCTAATGCCTGTAAAAAATTTTTTATAGCAATGACACTTGATTATATTTTATTTCAGACGCAGGCATCGATCAAGCAGTAGCTCTTCGTATGGCTCTCGAAGAAAACGAAGTCGAAGTCGTTCAAGGGGTCGAGGGAAATCCTATAGAGTTCAGAGATCTAGGTCAAAAAGCAGAACAAGAAGGTATGCTGTAGTAGATATTTATCGCTGTTACAAAGCTATTTGTAACAGTTTCCAAATTTAGTGATCTAAAGCAACAATCATTTATGTTCTCATGATTTTATGATTTTGACTGAGCTCAGCTGACAGTTCTGCTAATTTCACCTGGGGTCACTCATCCTCACTGGCTTCTCATTCTCTAGTAGGCAGGACAGGGCTTTTTCACACGATGGAGGACATTTTTGAAGAATGTAAGAGAAGAAGCTAGAATTTTTCAAGATCTTGCCTCAGTGTGTTATAGAATGAGTTTGTGTCTCCCGTAAATTCGTATATTGATGCCCTAACCCTCAACATAGCTATATTTGAAGAAAGGGTCTTTATGGAGGTAATTAAGGTTAAATGAGGTCATAGGGTAGAGCTTAATCCTGTAGGGATACATGTACCTTCACATGGCCTTAAAAGAAGAGGAAGAGACAGATCTTTTTCTCCTCTCTGAGTATGCACTCAGAGGAAAGGCCACGTGAAGACACAGTGAAAGGGTTCATATTTATAAGCCAGGAAGACAGCCCTTACCAGTAACCAAATTAGCTGGCATCTTCATTTTAGAATTATAATAGCCTCCAGAACTGTGAGAAATAAATTTCTGTTGTTTAAGCTGTCCAGTCTGCTGGACATTAGTTTGTTATAGCAGTTGGAACAGACTAATACACAGCTAGACTAATACATTAATATACAGTCTAATATTCCACCTGTGTTTTCTGGCTGTGCTCAAGGGCCAATAATACAGAGAATAGCCTGTCTGGAGACAGTTGTACATTTGGGCAATGGTAGAAAATTTGGTTAAGTAGGATGGGGACTATGGTATTGACAGACTTGATAAAAATAGGCATTCAGAAATTATTGAAGGTTTTTGAGCAGAAGAATGTTAGGATAAAAACAGCATTTAGGCAGATCATTTTCTTTTCTCTGCTTAGTTCTTCATACTACTATTAGGCTCTAGTTTTAGGGATATATTAACAGCCTGGTTTTGTTATCTAGGCATGAAATTTTGTAAGTTGTATGAATCTGAAGTTGGTTAATAGCAGTAAAGTTCAAATATTTAGCTTTCTGGCCTTGTGTTTTTTGCCCTCAGCCTCTTCTCTGTTATACTCTATGGATAAGCCACCTTGTGTTACGTACCTTTTTTTTTCATACGTGTCCCTGAGTTGCTAGCTTTGTTTCTTTGAGTATGCTCTTCGGCTTTCTTGCATATCTTTATTTTGAGAAATCTTTCTATCCTTTAATGCTTGGTTCTATTTAACCTTTAATTATTTCTCAGTCCTTTTTTGATTTTTTAACCTTTTCACTCCCAAGTTAAATTTAATCCCTCCTTTCTTGACCCACCATCACCTGTGGTTCCTGATTTGTAACAATTCTATTTTGAATATTATGTTTTTGTTATTCTCACATATTGTAAACTCTTGCAGTGGCACCCTCTTATTACCTAGCAAAATGCCTTGCTTGGTAAACATGTCTTGATTTGAATGAATGATTAAATGGGGAAATGAAGTTAGGTAGAGAGCTGGGTTTTGTAGCAAGAAAAAGTTTTATTGTTTTATTGATTTGGAGAAGGAAAGCTGTTTTTTTGGATGTATTGATTTGTCTAAAAAGAGTCTGATTACCAGAAAACAGCTTCAATTGAAATTTCCCATCATTGGGAACAAAAATAATAATTCATGTTTTTTATGGTCTTTTTTAGTTTATATTTTCACATATACTTCCATATATTTTCACGTGCATCAGTCATTTAGAGTTTGATTTTAAGCATTAGGGTTTTAACATAAGAAACTTTTGTAACCTTTGGAAGGATTCAGGGAATTAGGAGAACTGTCACTGATTATTTTAGCTTGAAGCATGGCAGCTGGTTGCTCAGAAGTCACTGGAAATTTTAATCACTCTCTCAGTTGGCAGCACCAAAGTGGGTGGCTCTCAAGAAACTTTCACCTGGAAGGTGTTTTTCTGCCCAATTATCTACCTACACCTATCTCCAAAGGGGGGTCTGGAAATGTTAATTTCCTTTGCAATGCATGGAAGACTTTAAAAACAATAGCAGTGATGTCTAGTCAACCACAAACTATCTAGCACATATGCATTTAGTAATTTGAGTTTTGTAACTCAATCAGGGTATCATGCATCGTAATACCTTTATTTTGTATATCAGAAAACAAGTGCAGAGGTTTATTCAGAACAACTTTTCAGCCTCTTGGATTGACACTTTGGCATTTAACTATAATAACTAAATAATCTGGAGTCACTGAAAAGTCTTAAATTTTGAGAAAGTACATTTTCTATGTCTTATGCACATACTATTTTAAGAATATATTTTAAGAATTTTTCAAAATATTTGAACTAAATGAGTTTAATCTTGGTTTAACAAGAAAATTGAACAACTCATTCCTTGAACAGCATGGGTAATCAAGGCTGTATTTTAAACAGAAAAGATGAAAGTAGTCAGTTTTTCAAAGAAAAAAATACGATTCTAAAGCAAAGGTGTGTTGTTAATGATCTCTGTGCTTTTTAATAGAAATGAGTGATTTCAGTCATGGTAAGTCAGATACTTCCAGAAAACTTGTTACACATGTAAAAAGTAATTGAAAGATGAAGCATGTTCTGAGGGATGGCAGGGGGAAGTCAAATATGTGAAGTTTGTTGTGGTTTCCATGGATGAGTTACAGAGTAATTAGGTGATTATGCTTTTTAATATAATTGTTTCTAATGTTTGTTTATTTTTGAGAGAAAAAGTATGTGAGAGTGGGGGTGTGGGCAGAGGATTTGAAGCAAGTTCTGCACTGACAGCAGCAAGCCCTATGTGGGGCTCAAACTCACAAACTGAGATCATGACCTGAGCCGAAGTCAGACGCTTAACTGACTGAGCTACCCAGGCACCCCAGCTTTTTGATATAATTTTTATGTTCTCAAAATATTCAAGTTGTGACATATTTCACTTCCTTTTGCGACAGTGAGGGATCTGCTCCTGTTATTCACTGTATGTTTATTTATTTCCTCATTCCAGAATACGCAGAAAGTACTTTTAGAATTGCTGATACATACCACTGTAAAAAAACAAACTTACAAACTAGGGTTAATATTTTTTATGCTACTTTTTATCTTTACTGTGGGGGTATATAGTTCTCTTCCCCACTTCATTATGGTTAGTTTCTTCAAAGAGGTAGATTTGTTTGTTTTTGTTTATATTTCAAGTTTTTTTATCCCGCTAAATTTAAAAATTTGTCTCTCCCTTTCTTTTAGTATGTGAAATATTAATATGGTTCTAACAGATAGTACTATACTAAAAAGGCATATGCAGAGAAATACCCCTCCCCTTTCTCCCTTGTATCTTGTTTCTAACCACTCCATAGGTAACTAATTCTATTTGTATTTTAGGTTTTACTTTTTTTTTTTTTTAAAGAGAGAGACCAAGAGAGTGTGTGTGCCTGTGTGTAAGTCGCATGCCTGAGACAAGGAAGGGGCAGAGGGAGAGGAAGAGAGAATCTTAAGCAGGTTCCATGGTCGGTGTGGAGCCCAATGCCGGGCTCAATTCCACGACCCTTGAATCATGACCTGAACTGAAACCAAGAGTTGGGTGCTTAACTGACTGAGCTATCCAGGCACCACTCCTCTGTTTGTTTTTAAACTAAGTGGTAGTATATCCATGGTATACTAGAGATATTCTTTTGTACTTTGGTCTTTTTGTTTACTAGTATATCTTGGAAAGCACTCCATGTCACTTAATAGTAATCTTACTCATTTTTTCATGGCTGCTTAGTTGCTCATTGTGTGGCTCTATCATAATTTGTTTAGCCTATCTTCTACATATGGACATTAAGGATACTTCCTATATTTTGCAGTTACTAAAAAGCTACCATAGACAACCTTGTACATGAAAATTTTTATATTGTTGGAGGTATATTTTTAGGGGAAACTCCTACAAATAGGATTGCCAGATGAAAAGATAAATAAGTTTGTAGTTTTGATAGAAATTGCTAAAATCCTGGGGTGCCTGGCTGGCTCAGTCAGTTAAGTGTCTGATTTTGGCTCAGGTCATAATCTTGCGGTTTGTGGGTAGTTCATGGGTTTAAGCCACGCGTTGGGCTCTGGGCTGACAGTGAGAAGGCTGCTTGGGTTTCTCTGTCTCTCTCTGTCCTTCCCCCCCCCCCCCCCGCCCCGCGCTCGCTCGCTCTCTCTCTCTCTCTCTCTCTCATAAAATAAATAAATAAAACTGTCAGTAGTATGTAAGTCCTGTTTCCCAACAGCCTCATCAATAGAATATGTTGGCATATTTAAATATTTGCCAGTGTGATAAATGAAAAATGGTATTGTAATGTAGTTTTGGTTTTCATTTCTTTATCATAAGTGTTGAACATCTTTTTTTATGTTTGAGGGCCATTTTTCTGTCTTTTTTGTGTGCAAATTTTCTTTTCATGTCTTTTGGGTTTTTGATATTTTTTTCCTTTAATTTTAAAGAGTTACTAGATAATCAACCCTTTAGCTGTAATACATATGGCAAATATTTTCTCTTAGTCTTTCAGTTGTCTTTTGATTTTGTTCATGCTACTTCTTGGCCATGCAGAAGCGTTTTTATGTGGTCAGATTTATCACCCTTCTCTCAATGCATCTTTCCTTACATTCAGAATATAGAGAAATTCATTCCTTATACCCAGATAGGAGTTCACTGATTTGTCTTGTTTATTTCATTTTTTACATTTATGTCTTTTATATATTTGGATTTGTTCTTGTCAATGATATGAGGTATGGATCTATTGTTTTTATTTATTTATTTATTTTAATTTTAATTTGTTTTATTTTTTTTTTTAATTTACATCCAAATTAGTTTGCATATAGTGCAACAATGATTTCAGGAGTAGATTCCTTAGTGCCCCTTACCCATTTAGCCCATCCCCCCTCCCACAACCCCTCCCATAACCCTCAGTTTGTTCTCCATATTTATGAGTCTCTTATGTTTTGTCCCCTTCCCTGTTCTTATA